CACATAGACCCATGTTGGTCTTTTGAGGGGGAACAGGGGGTCTTTAGGGGAGATAGCAGGTCAACCGATGCTACATAGAAGTTGTTTACATCGTCTCAAAGCTTAGAACTTGAGTGAACATTATGATGGAAGTATATGATGGCAATTCCTGTGCTCACTTATGTCTCATAAGTTGTTGCGTTATTTTTGGGGTTAATAGCATTTGTTATGCAGATTTGGTGCTAAAATATAACAGTTTTATAACAATCGAGAATTGATCAAAACAAAAGAAAGATCATAAATACCACATTGAGACACATAGACCTTGAGGAACACTTCATGCTGTGATTTGGTTTCAAAACCTTTGAAGTTTAGAGATTTCTCTATTGGATGGCGAGCACTTCTGATCTGGAAACTGCTCATAAACCCACTTATTGTAAATATATCTAGAAAATCCATCCATCCTCTGACTTCTCAAGGTCTCTAGTTTGTGTTTGTAGAGGTTCATGAGGCTGTGATTCTACAAGAAGTCACAACAAGTCATTTTTACAGCGATGTCTCAGATGACTAGTCTGATGACTGACATCCTCCCACATCAATGCAGTAGAGCTCGTTGGATTGGAGTGTCAGCTTTCCATTCATCCCAAAACGGTTTAGTTTAGAAATAATCAAATTCAACTCTTTTAGTTGGATGCAAAACTTTATTTTATGTTTCCTCTACAAGATGTAGTTTGTTATTCATGATCAAAACACAGCACACTTCACCTTTCCTCCTCAGTAGCTGTTAATTATCAATGTTCAAATGTTTTCATTTCCGCTTTTGTCCACTTTGTCTCGGTCTGTGTTACAATCAAGGACTTGTAATTGCGATTTGCTCTCACGCTGGCTTCGCTTTGAAAATAAGAGACGATTTGCTCAGAAATGGACACTTCTCTCAGAGTGAAATGAAAAAGAAATCAATAGAACGTGACATTGTTGTCAGGGACAGTGACAGACTCTGCGACCCTGAAAATGTCAGCCTTTGGTCTCGGCAGCGGTGGCGGTAACTCACCAGATAACATGTCACTATTGTCTGACACGCTTTCACGGTGTCGCTGAAATCTCTGACCCAGAACATGTTCGACATTTCGGAGTAAACAACAAGTGCAGGAAACAAAGTGCAGAGAGGGGAAGCCACCAGCCTTCAATGTCCAACATGGAGATCTGTCTTTGCTCTTTATTCCTGTCAAACGTTTCCTCTCAAAGCAACATCTGCTGTGTTTCTCTTTTGACCAGCTGTGCTGCATATATTATTTTAAAACTACAACAAAGGGCACCTTTTGAATCATTAAATACTGTTGTTTGTGTACAACATTCAACTAGAGGCTCTTTAAAGGAAGAGGAATGACCTATTAGCAGCTCCTGTTTGCAGTGAACCTCTTAATGCACAAGTATCACTGGATTACTATGACGACGCTAGAGAATACTTAAAAACATGTTGAGTTCTGCAGTGTCTTTATTTTAGAAGTGGAGTTATGGAAGTTTATTCTGGATGGAAATCAGAGATAATGAGTCACTGACTGAGTCTAGCAGGGGATGCACTAAATGTGAATAATAGTAAAAAATAATAACGATAATGATAAAAATTGTTATAACAATGCTACTACTAATAATAATAGTAATAATAACAGAGTAATAATATAATGACAATCATCAAAATAATTAAAATAACAATGCCAATAATAAAATATCAACAACAATGTTAAAAAATAACAGAAATGTTCGTGCGGCCGTTTGCAAGTGAATCTTCCGGGTCTGGATGTAGATACTGATTCAGTGAATCACTAATCAATATCAGAGCAGCCTGTCTCACTGTGCAGCATGTTGATGAAACAGCTCTCGGTGTTCATTGAACAACGGTCGGGTCGGTTGTAATTCTGTTCAGTGGCTCGGCAGCTTCTCCTCAGGACCCGATCTGACATTATACGCTCCATAAAGTAGGCTAAGACTCATCAGGGATTCTTATAAATTAAGATCAAACACCGCGTTCGCCCCTGAGGGGTACATCCAGATGCAATTATTGTCGAATCCCAACTTTTTCAAATGTATGCTCGGCGTTCTGTTGCACTAATGCTCCTCTCCGAACAGTAATTACAAGGACATTTCTAATTAAGTTTTTCTTTCAAGCTGCGAGAAGATGCCGAAGGAATAATCTGCCCTTCAGTCAGACGATTTAACGTCCTGCTCGTTTGTGTTCTTTAAGGAGAGAATAAGCCGCTTGAAGAACTCATGGAGTGTGAATGCATATTATCTATAACAGTGCTGACATCACGGTGAATTAAGGAGTGAAAATCATAACATTACATCATTGAAATAGTCTTGATTAAAGTTATCACAAGCACACGTCCCTCATCAGAATGGATCAGTGCGTGAAAGTGTTTCTGTTTACATTCATTATTCATCGCCTCAGAAGAAAGACATCTTTAAATAGATGTGAGCAGCACAGCTGTCCGTCTCCAGCCCGCAGAGACCGGGACTGAAAAACCACGTCAGTCAAAGTGTCTTGCGAGACGGTCCTCATTTCTGCCCTAGTTTCTGCATCCGACTGTTGTGTTCACGCTCCTCTCACGGACGGGAAATACGGAAAGAGCGTGCGTCAGTGATGCAGCAGATGCACGAGACGGATGCTTTGTTTCTCCTGGAGACGCTGCGTGATTGATGCGTGACAGGACGGCCGTGATTCCTGAACAGATGCACGTTCGGAACTCCTGCAGTTGCCAGGGGGAACATGGGCAGATACAAATAAATATCAGGATTAGATTCCAGGTTATTGGGCAGGTACTGAGTGCAGAGTGTACGCAGAACAAAACAAACTCGAGGCTTCATCACGGCCACAAACCGACGGGTTAGTCCCAGTCAGCCCGTCGCTGTGTGAATTACGAACTACATCTCTCACTGTAACAGAGTCCTTTTCAAGCTGTATTCTCCTGTCATCTTTTATGTTTCTCTTTCATGTGTGCGTTTAACCTCCATCGCCATCACCGTATAAATGTCCCCTGACGTCCTCCTCTAATGTGGACTTCACGAATAGAAAGCAACAGAGGTCAAGATCCTACTTTTAGCCAGGAATGATGAAAGATGTAGGCGTCGGTGACATCGTGAGAGGGTGTCAAGGACATCTCAGCGGCATCGGTGGCAGAAGGCGAGGCTGCCTGTCACTTCAAAGCCAACGCTCACAGCGAGAATAGCGACGTGATTAAGTGCAGGTCTTAAGATAAAGGACTCTTCTCCGTATAACTCAGTTTCCTGTTCTGACTGTTGTGAGCATCTGAATGATGGAGTGCAGGAGACAAAGCTGTCAACAGAGACAGAAATGGATCCTCACTCGGCTGCTAATGCTTTCTTTGAAATATTATACATTCTCTTCGGGCTGCAGTGATTTGATTGGATGGATTTTGATTTAAATTGTACAGCACGGAGTCTTTCATGATCCGACCAGCTCCTTTACATCTACCACTTCCTGTCCTGTGAATTTATGAAGCTTAAGCACAAGTTCAATCAGGAAGACTATCTCTACACTCCTTTTCATTCATAATCTCTGTCTCTCTCTCTCTCCTGTTAATTGCTGATTGGGGGCGTTCACTTTGAAGTAACCAACCAGATTCTGCACAGTTTCCTGAAGCCAATCACATCGTAGCTGTCAAACTTTAAAAAGTGTCCTTCTCTCTGCTGCTGTCAGTTGTCAATTCGGGTCTAAGCAGATGCGACCCTCCTCCGCCCGTCACCTCCAGTCAGCATCACAGTCATGCTCCTCATTCATCATCAGATTGCAGCAACTCCTTTCACCACCACCACCAGCGTCTGGACTCCGGGGGGGGGGGGGGTCAGGCCTTATTGGACCTCAGTGTCCCTCCCCTCGGTGAGATTACTTCAGGATGGAGTCCAATTGCCAAAGACTTTGCACTATTCATATGTTATGCTTGTATGATAAATCGCTGTTGAATCTCTCCTGATTGAATTGAAATGGTCGTCACCCTTACATTACACAAGCATCCTTCTAGCTGAAGATTGAAATATTCCCTCGTTTGGTGAATTCTTTGTGTGGATTTATTTGGTTTTGCTGCCTGATTCTTTTCCTTGAAGTTGCACGAGGACACGTTTTGATGAACCTGTTTGATTTCATGTGTGAACCTGAGGGTGGAGTGAGAGAGTGGTATTGAACTCGTATCATAATTAGTGGTGGTATTTCATTATTTTTTACCGTTGATGTTGTGTTTTGACCCAAAGCGTGTCGATTCTGCGTATGTTTGCTGCTCTCTTTTTATTAAAATAATAAATGACATAGATGATATAAATCAATGCAGCATCAAGTTAATGCTCATCTGGCGGCCACATTCATAATGTATTGTATAATGGTTTTATGCCACATGGATTTATAAAATTTGTCTTGAGGTTGAATATATTCTTATTTATTCTTTTGCATATTCTGTTTATCGTCATCGTTACCGATAATCTCTTAATGGCCTTATGTGATTAGAAGCCTCCACGCCACCACCTACTCTTCCGGGGCCCTTTGTGTGACGCCAGCACAGGTTATGTGTTCGTTCGGCAGCTATTTCTGCTGATCCGCAGCTCCGTCTCTATCCGCTGCTCTGCAGTCTTCATGTCCTGCCAAACGTTTTGTGTCCGTATGCAAAGATTCACCGCCGTCCTGGCAGCGTGAAACCAGAACGAGAGCCCCCGGACTTGTTCTTACACTGACAGAAGGTGCATTTCTGAACTTGCATGCGTGTCCGACCCTCCTCTCGGATCATGTTTACTGCTGCTATGTGTCTCTGTCATGAAGCGGTGAACTTGTCTCTGAGAGCACGTTGGGTGTTTTACATAACAGCAGTGATTTGGGTGCAGAACAGATGAGCGGACTAACACGTCCTGTGTTGTCGGTGCTGCTCACGCTCCAGTGCCGCCGTCACACTCGCCGCTAATGAATGAAGCTCTTTTTTTTTAAAGTGTTGCTGACCCGTCGTCCTTTTGTCTTTCAGGGTTCGACGCATACTTCACGTCACGCACGCTGGAGAACAACAGGAGGAACGTGTGGTTTGCCGAGTACTGGGAGGAGAACTTCAACTGCAAGCTGATGAGCTCCTCCAAGAAGGACGAGAGCAGCAGGAAGTGTACAGGTGAGCCTCTGCCAACGGTGTCCAGACGTCACAGTCAGCCAGAGAGAAGGACTAAACCTCAGGAGAGATGATAACACTCACCAAAGGCCCAATAAGTTACATCCAGCTATGAGCTTCAGGCAGCCAGGGCTCTGCAAACTTTTAATTCATAAATATTCTCCTTAAACGATAAAACAGTAAGGCACAAAGTTTTATATTGTTTTTTTATTATTATATGAAGCACAATAACCAATTTAATCTGGTATTCGCTAGATTGATTTAAATGTAAATGCAGGAAATATCATTATTGTATTATTACTGCAGCGCTCTCAGTTGCTGCTGTTGCTTTAAAAAGTGCTGAACTTCAGAATACACGCTCGAGATGATGAGAGGCTGCAATATGAAGAGAAGAAGAATCAATAAGAACAGATATTGGATTGGATTTGATTGGCATATGCTCAATGTTAAAAGACTCAGGGCATCGCTACTTTTATTATAATTAAATATAATTAAATATCAAGCTTTATTTATACCGAGGGAAAGTACTGAGCAGTGTTTGCAATACAAAGTGTGAGGAGTGCAGCACTGAAACACAATAGAACGGCTGCACCTGCAATGGTGGAGCAGAAACTCTTAATCCCCCTGGGCTGCAGTCGATCGTGCACGGCAATTAGCAACGCAATACGATAGCGCGGAGCAAACCTTCATCACTAATGAACCTATTCTATTAAGAGTATTGATTCAAGCCACAGAGGATCATAATACCGTTTCTTATTGTCTTATTGTCTTATTGCATGTCTGCTACGTTTCACCCTCCCTCTCGTATTCCACTCACTAACTCGTCTGGTTGATATTTAAAGGTATACATTTTACAAACAGTAAACAGTGGCAGTGCCTAATACATCGTCACGTTTCACTGACGTTTCCCCCCCCCGCCCCCCAACACATATTATAATTCCAACCACAGAGACGGCTGGGATCACTTGTGCCCCCTAGAACTAAACCTGCAATTACATAATGAACACGCCTCCTGTGCCATTTCGGAATGATTGAGTCCCTCTGTGCCCTCGAAGCAGCAGGCGTGTAGACAAGAGACACCAGCAGCAGCTTTATTCTCTGAAACGACTCTAATGACTCAGACGGGGAGAATTCAACCCAACTCACCGAGTATTAAAGCTGCTCAGATGAGGTCAGGGATTCTTTGTGTCAACACAAAGGAATGATCATTATGTCCCCTCTATTTGTAAAGAAATGAGGAATTATACGGATAATACTTGCACATTGACATGATGCTATTCTTTAAAAGCTCTTTTAAAGCACAAAGACATTTAGAGGCATAGTTGGACCCAGTGGCAGCTCACTGCTGCAGAGTGCAGCGCTCTGCTTGTTCAGAGTAAGAGTGCCACGACTGAAAGAGACACAAAACGTTTTCCATCCTCTCTTCAGTCATTGTGAGGGTCTCCGTGGACGTTTGGTTTCTGTCTGTAGTTGGTTTTTGTCTTTTTGAGGTTGTTTTGTGAATCTCTGAGGTCAGTTTGCATCTCTTTGGCCTCGTTTTGTATCTCAAAATGTGGTTGTTTTACATCTGTGTGGTAGTTTTGCATCCCTGTAGTCATTTTGCATCAGTTTGTGGTTGTTTTGCATCTTTTGTGGTGGTTTTGTGTATTTTTGCATCCCTGTAGTTTTGCGTCCCCAAAGTTTTGTGGCTTTTTGTGGTTGTTTTGCGCCTTTTTTAGATAGTTTTGCATCCCCAATTATTTTACACATCCTCATGGTCGTTTTGCCTCTCTTTGAAAATGTTTTGAGTCTCTGAAGTTGTTTTGAGTCTCTCTGTGCTTGTTTTTTGCAATTTGTTTGTCTTTGTTCTTGTCTCTCTCTCTGGTAGTTTTGCATCCCTGTTGTCATTTTGCATCTCCGAGGCGTCATTCCTGCATCTCCTCAGTCGTTTTGCGCGTCTTTGTTCTGTGTCTCATTCAGTGCTATTCGTCAGGTAAAGCAGTACTCTCAGGTACTGCTGTTTGTTGAAAAACTGCTGCTGAACTGCGTTTTTCATCCTGGAGATTTTAAACTGAGCTCTGTGACTTTCTCCTGGCCCTGTGCCCTAGAAGCCTGTTCATCCAAGAGTTTATAGCCTGCAATGTTTCTGAGCTTTTTGGCACAAAGTGTCACAACGACAGTCGTCTTGGAAAGTCTAAAAGGAAAACAATAAATCAGTACTGTTGTACATGATGACATCACCTCGTGTTGGCTGTTTGCTCTAATTACCTGGCCTAGTTGTAGATAGTTAGCTGGAAGCTAACAAGTAGCTCATTTTGGACGGACCAATGCGCGTTTTTTAACGCTGTCGCCCCACAGCAAGAAGGTTCAATTCACTGCCCTCATCATATCCGTGTGGAGAAGATAATGAATCAACGCGCTCGGCTTCAGAGTGAGTCGTGCGTCCTCACAGACGGATAAACAGCCGGACGTTATACTGTCACAGATACACATACATAAAGGTGACGGGATGCATCGCTGTGATAGGGATCCAATGGTGGAAGGACTAATAGGGTCAGGACAAACACTCTCAAACATTGGATGGGTGCCAGATCAACAAGTGGCAGGGATGAGTTCACCATCTGTGTCGCCACCGTCTGTTATGCTATTCAACATCAGCACACAGTCTCCTGAATATTATGTAATAATAATAATAATAATAATCTACAACAGCAGATTTATGTCGAGTTATTTGTCAGCAGTAAATCTCCTGAATTGCTTAACAGATATAAATGTTTGCTGAAGAGGCAGTGGGCAGTGGGCCAATGCTGAGACAGAGCTGCGACACGAGGCCCATTATGAACACTATTAGTGACACTTTACTGAACTCCAATTCCAGGGATCAACGGGTGAGGATGATTATGGTTTTCAAAATGCATTTTTATCAGTATAATGCTGAAGATTCAGTATTCAACAATATCTTCTACATTGCAAAATGTTGATGCTGCACCTGTAACCTGTAATCTCCGGCAGACGTCGTCCTGGGGAGATTACAGGTCATGTGTTCATTTGTGTGACTGTGTGCGTCCATACGCCGATGACAGTAATGGCTTCATGTGGTTATCGATGACTCACACCTCCTCAAATCATCTTTTATTACCTGTTTCTACCTACAAACCTGTGGAGCTAACATTAGCAGAGTACGTTAGCACGTCATTAACTGATGTTAGCCCTCCTATGCTATTTGAGCTACTAGATACTGTATACCACTGTTCCCTTACGTTTGCCTACGAAGAAAAAAGAGAAATCCTGATCAATACTTACGAACCTGCCATTGATTGATTCTGTTCCCCTCAAATACGTTATTAACCTGCCAAATAGTAATAAAAACAATAGACGCTTAGCTCTATTTATTTGGGTCTGTGCCTGCATGGTGGCCCGCCTTCTCCTTTAGTGAATTTTATTGACAGCGTGATTTAGTTTCACACCACAACCAAACTGGGAAAACAAGTAGTGTAGCGTGATTTTTCAGAGGCAGGGTCGTTATCGTGCATCAGCGCTGACAGACTGGGACCAGGTCTGGGACTTGAGTCGGCTGACTGGAGACCTTTCTGTTTGTCCCCCACGGTGCAGGGACATGCATTATAGCAGAATCTGTGACTGCAGACTGAACTCTAGTTGGGAATCTGAGTGTGTGTTAGTCCTGCAGTGGATGCCCTACCTCTACCCCAGTGCATGCTGGGATAAAACTTTTCCTTCTGCAACCCAGAACAAGATGAATGGACGGACAGGACCACATGATTATTCAAGCAATGTAGAAAATAAACACAGCGGCCCCAACGATGCTGGTTAATGTATCGTGGTCGGTCTGCGGCCACACATCGGTGCCGTGCCCATAATCTGAAGAAAGAACATTCCATCAGTTCTTATTGCCGTAATAAAGCTGCCACATGGTGCAGCATTAGGACACTGGCGTCGGGTTTGTTTAGAGGAGGTGGCTAATTTACAGTGAACCGTTAGTCGCACTCCGTAGCTCTGTGCTGCTTAATTGCTGCAGTGGTATCCATTTGAAAATGTGGAGTAATTATATTTGCCAATAGGATGATATTTTATGCTTCATGCTTTGTGTTTATTGCGTCAACTTTCAGGGATTAAAGACCTCAAAGAGTAATCTATTTAAATATATTATTCGTGAAATCCAGTCTGATTTGTAAATTATGCGATACACCACGGCAACACTTCACTTTAATCCCCTTATTCAGCATTTATAACGATATACAGACATGTAATACATGGTTTATAACAGCCTATGATGTAGCTGTAAGCAGATGTAAGTATTGATGACGAAATCATGCAGGTGAGCAGAGGGGACAAGAGCAGAACCGGAGGCAGAGGACCCGTCTGAGGTTACAGGGGGGAAAGGCCTAATAGCCTGCAGTCAGTGGGCGAGGACAGTTCACACAGAGCCGTAGCTGGGGGCAGCAGCAAGCTGCCAGGATAACATTGTGCTCGCGGTGCCTTTGTAGGCTGGAGCCAAGATAAAGTGATGCCAGTGGGGTCCGATGGGCGTCCTGTTTAGTGTGTGTGTGTGTGTGATGGAGAGTGGGAGACAGATATGAGCAGGTCACAGAGAGGAGAGAGGGACTGAGAGACTCCTGTTTATAAGATAACATAAAGTTCCGGGTCCCTTTGCTTCAGGCAAGGAAATAGAGAGGGGTTAGAGTATAGTGTCGGCGGGCCTCCGGAGGCCTCCTAACAAGAGATAGGAAGTCTCCGATCAGTGTCTGCTCAGAGCTGCAGCCACATGGCAGCAGATACCCGGAGTAATTATTGGTGCTGTCAGTGTGCGCAGCCCGTCGATCGCTGAGCTGAGAACAGCCGGCTCCCCTCACACTTTTGCTAAAACAGCTTCTAACAATGTCACGGCACACGGCGCTCACCGGTCAGGAGGAGTCATTCTCTTCAGCAGATGGCGTGGCTGTTATTAAGGATAACAACTGAGCGCTGGGAGCAAAGCGAGCCAGTTGTTAAATGGGTAAGAACAT